ATGGCACTCGCTTGTATATTGCATCCCGTTTACATTTCTCTGTATCCCCATTGTTATAGATCAAATCCACTATTTCACTGACCCAGGTTGTTCCTGAAAAAAAAGAAAAGAAAGAAAGAGAGAGAAGGAACTCTAAACTTTTCTGTCAAAAAAGTATGAAATGGTCACAAGACATTAGGTAACATAAAAAATAAAAATGTGCTCTTAGAATTCATGCCTTTTTTTCTCTTCTCTCTTTTCCTAGTAGACATCCTTATATATCTTGAACATATACTAAATATATGTATTCTGCATATGTCTCAAATCTGATTAAAATACTCATAAAAGTAAAGCCTGAAAAGGAAGTAAAATATGGGGTATAAAAGAGACATTGTGGGCCTTGGCTGGATAGCTCAGTTATTAGAGCATCCGCCCATTCATCAAGCTTGCCAGTTCCAATCTCTGGTCAGGCCACATACAAGAATCAGCCAATGAATGCATAAATAACTGGAATAACAAATCAATTTTGCTCTCTCTCATTTCTCTCCAATCAATCAATTAAAAAATTAATAAACAAAATTTTAGAAAGGAGATGTTGTAGAAGAAATGATAGTTCACTTTTCTGTGTGGGATAGTTGGGGGAAGCAGCCAATTTTAATGACTCTGAACTCCAATTTCTACATTTTCTAATAATATCAAAATGACTATTATTCTTTGGGACTGAAGGACACTTTGGGTAAAAATGTTTAACATTTTGGTGAAGAGAAAAACAGGGTTGAAGGAAAACAAAGAGAATTTTGGCATTTTATCTGTGGTGACCATTGTTACACTACCAAGTCAAAGACAATATATTCTGTTTGAACACAGTGGATTAAGTCACTCTATTCTTTTTTTTTTTAATATATATTTTATTGATTTTTCTTTACAGAGAGGAAGGGAGAGAGATAGAGAGCTAGAAACGTCGATGAGAGAGAAACATTGACCAGCTGCCTCTTACACACCCCCTACCAGGGATGTGCCCGCAACCAATGTACATGCCATTGACCGGAATCGAACCTGGGACCTTTCAGTCCACAGACCAACGCTCAACTACTGAGCCAAACCGGCTTTGGCATCACTCTGTTCTTTATGAAATTGTGTCTCACCAGACTTTGAGAAATTGCTTTAATGTACATGAGCTTATACTCTATTTAATTGGCTATGTCACTCAATGATATGGCTATCAAGATACTGTTTAAAAAGTGATTACAATTCATAGAAGAAAAATATCTTCTTAACTGTTCCCATCTCTTTCCCCTTTATGAAACATATGATGATATGCCAAAACCGGTTTGGCTCAGTGGATAGAGCATCAGCCTCTCTCTTCCTCTCTGTAAAAAATCATATATATATATAAACATATAATGATAGTCTCTAAATTGAATAATTATTGAGGGTGAAAACTAAACAAATAAATAATTAATCCATGCAAACAGCATTGTTTTTGAAGAATGATCTGCACATGGAGGCACCTTTGAATTGGTTCCAGGTATTAAGAGTACTTTAGGCTTCGTTTTTATTTAGTCCTTTTTCTGGACAACTCTTACTCCTTCATGTTCCTAAATCACAAGTACCAGACTCATTCCCATTCTTCTAAGTCAGACAATCACAGTACTAAGAAAAAGGTGGGTCAATTCAATATTATACTTGAATACTAGTTTTTTGCCTAATCTGCATAGGCCTAAGCAATAATTCACAAAACAAAAGAGAGCTAAATTCAACATATTTCATTTCCAATCAGTGGGTGGTTTGAATAGTGGCCAATAAAATTTGATAGAAGGAAATTCTATTTTTTTTATATATATGTTTTATTGATTTTGTACAGAGAGGAAAAGAGAGGGATAGAGAGTTAGAAACATCGATGAGAGCGAGTCATCGATCAGCTGCCTCTTGCACACCCCCTACTGGGGATATGCCTGCAACCAAGGTACATACCCTTGACCGGAATCAAACCCAGGACCTTTCAGTCCCCAAGCCGACGCTCTATCCATTGAGCCAAACTGGTTTCAGCGGAAATTCTGTTTTAGATATGCTTTCAGTTGAAAAGTTTATTTTTCATTAGTTTTGAAAAAAAAAAAATGGTTTAATTAACTTTCCCTTGCTGGTACGGTTCAGTGAGAACATCCTTCTGTACACCAAAGGGAGGCAGGTTCAATTCCCCATCAGGTCACATATCTAGGTTTCATGTTCTATCGGGAGGCAACAAATTGATGTTTTTCTCCCACATGAATGTTTCCCTTTCTCTCTCTCTTCTTCTCTCTAAAATCAATAAAATAAAAAATTTAAAAATTATTTAATTTGAATATTTTTAAAAAAATTATCTTTATTGTTGCAAGTATTATAGATGTCTCACTTTTTCCTCCCCATTGACCTCCTCCACCCCATTTTCTGTCCCCTCCCCAAGTGCTTCCTATCTATCTATGCATATAAGCATGTAAGTTCTTTGGTTAATCTCTTCCTGTCCCCTCCCTCTGAATTATATCAGTCTGTTGCATGTGTCAATGTCTCTGGATCTTTTTTGTTCATCAATTTATTTTGTTCATTAGATTTCACATAGAAGTGAGATCATGTGATATTTGTCTTTCTCTGACTGGTTTATTTTGATTAGCATAATACTCTCCAGGTCCCTCCATATCCTTAACTTGGAATAAAAGAAAAGAAAATGATCATAAAGAGTATATGATTAATTTATGTGTAGCCACCTAGCCATCTAACATTAAGGACACTAGAAAAAATTCATCATCAAAGAGCACCTTTGTAGATGAACTATTTGTGTAATGGCACCTTCCAAAGACTTTCTTAATAGTTTCATTTTTATAAATATATAAAAATAGCAAAACAAAGCCCTGACCAGATTGGCTCAATGTATGGAGTGTTGGCCTGTAGACTGAAGGGTTCCAGGTTCAATTATGGTCAAGGGCATGTACCCTGGTTGCGGGCACATTCCCAGTGGGAGGTGTGTGGGAGGCAGCTGATTGGTGTTTCTCTCTCATTGATGTTTCTGGTTTTCCATCCCTCTCCCTTGCTCTCTATAAAAAAAAAAAAAAAAAAAAAAAAAAAATCAATAAAATGTGTTTTTTTAAAAAGAAGGATTTCTTACTATTTGCAACAGCATGGATGGAACTGGAGATCATTATGCTAAGTGAAAAAAGCCAGTCAGAAAAAGATAAATATCACTTGATCTCACTCATTTGTGAAATATAATGAACAACATAAGCTGATGAACAAAAACAGATCCAGAGACAGGGAAGCATCGATCAGACCGTCAGACCTCAGAGGGAAGAGAGGTGAGGGTGGGGGTAAGGGGAAGAAATCAACCAAAGGACTTGTATGCGTGCAAGTATTGGACACAGACAGCAGGGGGTAAGAGCATGAGTGTGAGTGGTGGGAGGCAATGGGGGAATAAGGACATATATGTAATATCTTAATCAATAAAGAAAAGAAAATACTGTTTTCCATCTGCCGTTAGTTGAATCTGCTGATGCACACCCTGGGGATATGGACAGACAACTCTATATATAATATATATATTAGGTCTAGTAATAATTAATGTCGTTTTCTAATACTTTTTTTTTAAATCGAATTTATTTAAACAATACAACAAAATTTAATCAACAATATAGTTGCCATTGTTTTCTACTACTTGTGCCCAACGTTCAGGAAGCATTTTAATCCCTCTGTTGTAAAATTCTTGTGATTTTGATGCAAAAAATTCGGTCAATGCATTTTTGAGGCATTCTTCATTATTAAATGTTTTTCCAAGAAGAAAGTTTTGCAAAGAACGAAACAAATGGTAATCGGAAGGGGCAATATCAGGAGAATATGCAGGTTGAGGGAGAACTTCCCATTCCAACTGGTGCAGTTTTTCAGCAGTGATTCTTGCAGTATGCAGTCGTGCGTTATCGTGGTGAAGAATTACGCCCTTCCGATTAATCAGCGCGGGTTCTTTTTCTCTTAAAGCTTGGGCTAACCTTTCCAATTGGGCACTATACACTGCACTTGTAATGGTTTGGTTAGATGGTAAAAGTTCATAATAAAGAATTCCTTTAAAATTACACCAAACACACAACATCACTTTTTTCGCATGCAAGTCAAGTTTTGGCGTGGGATGAGGAGCCTCATTTTTGTCCAACCATTGAGGCCGCCTTTTCAAATTAACACACAGCACCCATTCTTCATCTCCGGTAACAATTTGCTCTAAAAATGGCAAACGGTTTTGACGAGAGAGGAGAGAACTGCAAATTGTGACTCTTTGATTACGGTTGTTGTCGGTCAACTCATGAGGAACCCATTTTCCAAACTTTTGGACTTTGCCAAGTGCACGCAATTGATTGGAAATTGTTTTTTGTGAACAATTTAAAGTTGTCGCAAGCTCTTGTTGGGTAATTTGAGAATTTTGCACCAAAAGAGTTTGAAGAGCTTCTTGATCAAAATTGGACACACGGCCTTGACCACTCTTGTCATCTAACGAAAAGTTTCCCTCGCGAAATTTCTCAAACCAACGCTGGCATTTTCTGGCGCTAACTGCATCTTGACCAAGAGCACTACAGATGCTTTTTGCAGCCTCACTTGCTTTTCTTCCTAATTGGAACTCGTAAAGCATGCAGTGCCGAATATGCTCTTAATCTGCCATCTTCTTAGCCCTAGTTTTGCAACAAAAACCAAACCAAACACAAACTTTTTCAAGCAAAACTTGTTAATTGCACTTCACACGTTCTGTAGATACCACGTGTTTGAAGGTTATGTCAATACAAGTCAAAGCCAAGCAAGATTTTAAACGAATGTTTAAAAACGACATTAATTATTACTAGACCCAATATATATATATATATATATATATATATATATATATATATATATATATATATATTTTTTTTTTTTTTTTTTTTTTTTTAATAAGTAGACACATGCATTTCAAACCCATCAAGGGTCAACTGTACAAATAAATGAAAAGGTCTTACCAGATTTGGGATAGGTGGCAATCAAAAGGTCATCTGGTCGGCTTTCAAATGATTCCACCTGGGACCATTCCTCAGCAATGCACCAGAAGAGAGGGATACCCTGAACATCCACTAACTCTCTTCTGTAAACATCCGGCTTGTTGTCCATGTTTGAGACTGTATTTTATACAAAGAGACTTTGTTTTACATAACATCAATATGTTTATTACATTTTATTCACTAAATTATTAATTGCATTTTATTCACTAAAATAATTTTTCATTTCTCTAGATCTAGCAGCTTCAGATCATGGTACTGTGTATTATAAATCAGCAGAAGGAAAAATTATTTTATTTTATTTTTATTTTTTCCTTAAATAATAATTTTATGATTAATATCTAAATGTATTCATAAAAGTCAAGAAACCCTTCAATCACACCCATATTATTTACTTTTTTGAGATAATTTATTAGTTCATTTTTTTTATGTGTAATCCGGCATAAAGCAAACAAAGCAATAAAAAAAGAAAGTGGGCTAAGAAGAGGAAAAAACTATTTTAAAAACCAATGAGATCTTACACAGTTTATTTTATATGTACTGATTATATGATAATATCATCAATATTTTAAAATATATTTTATTAATTATTTACACAAAGGAAGGGAGAGGGATAGAGTTAGAAACATCTGTGAAAGAGAAACATTGATCAGCTGCCTTCTGCACACTCCCTTCTGGGGGTGTGCCTGCAACCCCAGGACCCTTCAGTCTGCAGGCCAACACTGAACCAAACTGGTTAGGGCTATCATTAATATTTTTAATGGATATACAAAGGCTTCTGGGAGATGTAATAAAATTTCTGGACTTTAGAGTTAGAAGAAAGTGTCCTTAATCACAGTGCTGTCAATTCATTGCAGTGGGAATGTAAATAAGTTCCATGACTACTCTAAATGTTTTTAACTATAAAATCAGGAGTGGCCTAACTTAGTACTCCTTAAATTACTGGCTGAACCACTAAATGTAAACTAGCTAAAGGTAAGTTATTCTTAGTTATTTACAACAGACCACAGAATAAAAGAGAGGGGGAGGGATTGAAGTAAGTGTAGCACTGGAATTACATTGCTCTGATGAAGGAGCATTAGTGACATGCCATTTTATATTCTGGACAGGGACCTAATGAAGGTACTTATTCCTCTTTAGCTGCTGTATGAAAAAGTGGGAAAGCTTGAAATATAATCTATGTCCTACTCCAAAACGTGTTGTTTCCAAATTGAGCATGGGCTGAATGGTTATTTTTCTTTCTCTAAAGAATGAGACAATCTAATAATTTCAGATTTAAAAGGCTTCCTGAGGTCCTCTAGCAGCTGCTGAATCTTACTTCAATAATTAAAATCAGAAACCTCTGGAGCCAATAGACATAACCTAACTTGTGTCTTTTCCAAAGTACAATTTCTTACCTTCTTTATTTCTCTTTTTTCAAGTCCTTACAACTCCACCCTTATCCTACCTCATCCAAATACCTTTTACTTTAAAAGGTTATGAAGTCACAGGATACTAAATCAATATTCAAATACCCGTTGCATGCATATAAGTTAATTAAAAAAAAAACTATCACAAAAAGAAATTAATAAAATAATTCCATTTGCAATTACATAAAAATGTCTAGAAATAAATTTAACTAGAGAAACAAAAGACCTATACACTGAAAACCATAAGACATTAAGGAAAGAAACTGGAGAAGACACAAATAAATGAAAAATATTCTGTACTCATGGATTGGAAGAATTAATATTTTAAAATGTCTATATTGTCCAAGGTAACCTATATATTTAATGTAATCTCTATCAAAATTTCAAAGATATCTCTCACAGAAACAGAACAAACTATTCTAAAATATGTATGGAACCACAAAAGACCCAAAATAACAAAAGTAATCTTAAGAAAGGAAATCAAAGCTGGAGAGGCATCACACTCCATGATTTCAAACTATATTATAAAGTTATAGTAATAAAAACAGTATGGTAGTGTCATAAAAACAGGTACATAGATTATTAGAACAGAATAAAGAGCAAGAGTTAATTTGGAAAAGAGGAGAACTTTCCAGCCTGGAACTAGTATGTGTTAGTATAAAGACTCTATCTATGCTGGGGGAAAGAAATAAGGTCCATGAGACTACAGTGCAAAAAGTGAGGATCAATTGTGAATACTTCACTAAATTATGTAGTAAAAAATTAAAGATTTCAGGGTTATTTCTTGCTAATTGTGCCTGGCTTATACTGGATTTCTGACTAGTCTCATCAGAATAGGATGGTGCACTGCCTGCCATTATGCATAGTTCCAGCAGAGGTTCTGTCATACTATGAGAGAATGGTGATATGCAACTGAATCTGGGATGTTCCTGAGTGTCGTTGAAGGAGGAGTATATAATTAGATATTAGTTGAAGTTTTTATTTTTGCTTTTACTAAAAATCATTTATAAATACCATAAAGTTTCAAACTTAATAATCATAAGTATAACTTATGAACCTTGTTCTTCAGTGAACAGTTCTTATCCTAGAGTCCCTATTTGGTGATACCATATTCACCTCACCATTAAAGTCAGCCATCTAGAGATTCCGTCTTCTCTTAGACTTTTCCAAATTCATTCATTTCACAAATCTGATTATTTCTTTTTTTTCTTTCAAGTGTCCCTGGGAAAAGCAGCTTCTCTTCATGAACTAGCTTAGTAGTTAAGACTGTTAGGTCCCTAGATTCATAAATAATATGCTAGACCTGTCATTTACTACCGATGTGACTCTGGACAATCAAAATTCTAATTCAATTTTTTAATCTTAAAATGGAAGTAATGATTTACTAACTTTACACAACTATTGGTGATGGATATAACATGTATATTGGTAAAAATGGTGTATATTTGATAAAGGGTAGCCATTATTGATATTGTCATTACTAGTGTCATTACTGGGATACTAGTAATGACATTTTGAAAGGAAATTAATTAGAAGAAATATTTTAATATTTGCCCTTTCTCTATAATAGAAGTGTCAACCAAATTCACGATAGACAATGACAGATAGAAACACACGTCTGAGATTGGCACCTGTGAGAGCTTTATATATATAGATAAACTTGCTTAATTAGACCTGCTTTGTGATTTAGCTAAACTTTTTCCATCCCAGTGAAACACCCCAATTTCTCTTTCAGGTAATTGTCAGCAACACAGCAGTAAATATCAACTCAAAGCAGATTATTATTGTATATCACACAGGGAGAAAAAAGGGTAAAATATTTAACTGTAGCAGTGTTTGACTATATTCTGTGCAGTGAGAAAACCTGAAGTCATTTTTCAAGGTCCACCATTTCTTAATTCTTTCAAGTTGGGCCACCTCATCTCTAAGCTCAGTTCCTCCCTTCTTCCTGTCAACTCTCTGTAGGAGACCTCTAAAATCTGAGTACAACTACATAATTGAAAGGGCAAAGTGTAAAGCACTTTACCATGGTCTTTTTACACTTAAACTCCTCCCTCTGTTTACTTCCCACTGCATTTAGACTTTAGCCTCTAGCAACTGGCAATTAAAAAAAAAATGTATCCACCCCCTCACACCTCGATGTTGCAATCTCATATTCCTGTCTTTGAGCTGACACTCTTACTTTTCTTATCTACCTGGAAAACTCCTGTTCATTCTCAAAATCTTGTATAAATTGCACAACCTCTGCAAAGCCTTCCTGGAAACCTAAAAAAAGTATTCTTTTTTCTTCCTTTCCATATCTTGAATATACTGATTTTATTTTATACATTTTTAGTGTATTATCAGTTTAAAAGTTCTGTTTCTTTTTTCCAGGAGGACTTGACTTTATTAAGGTTAATGAATGTGTATTGAAATGAAATGAAATACTTTAGCTGGACTAATCAGGAATTGAGTTATTTTATGTTACCATTATAATTTTGATTAGCAACCTAACACTTTGAGATATACTGGGAAGTATCAGTAGACCTAATCAACAAGAAGTTTACATTTCAAATCATTTTTCAAAATACATACACACTCTCATACACATGCAACTCCCCCCCCCCCAACCACACACACACAAAATCCTGTTTTTAGTGCAATTTAAATCTATCCTCCCCATTTTACCAAGAGGGAAATTAACATAGAGAAAGCTTAAGTAACTTACCCAGGTCACACTGTCAGTAAGTGGAAGGACTGGGTTTGAACCGAGATAGTCTAACAACAAAATCACAAATAATAATTATTTTCCTACACTCCCTTTGAAATATAAACACTGAAATGATAAATTTCAACAAAAAGTAGTGTAAGAGAAGTGCCAAATTATGGTAAGGTGTTCATCAGATCTAAAATCAATCATAGGTTGGTATGATTTGATTTTAACCATGAAGTTTGGTTAATTAGAGATATAAAAGAATATTCTAGGTAGAAAAGATAAGCAGTATTCCTTTTTGCTCCATATTGCATACATAAATCATATGGCTTTATAAAAATATGAAGATTTAACCTACTATAGTGCATATAAAAGGACTTTTATAAAACCTGATTCACACTAATAATTTGTTTTATTAATATTTTTCATTCAATATCATTCATATATTTGAGATGATGATACAAAATTTTATCTGGAACAATTTCTAAAGGGACAAATTGTACATTTTTAACATTGTTTTATGTTTGAAAATTGTATAATAAAATATTTTAATTTATGCACAGTATTTGCTAATTTTTGGAATATCTGTGTTTTTGCAATATCTGTTTTTTGGGATTTTTTTTAGGTCATCCCTTGAAGAGGAACAAATCAGATATGTGTATTCAAATTTTGCGTGAGTTCAATATCTTCAATTAGCATTATAATTCCTAAAACACCCAAATGTATTCATTGGAAGAAATGCAATCAAATTGAACTTACCTTTAAACTCCTGAGAGCTTTAATTCTTGAATATCCTCAAGAATCAGAGCCAGGTAATGTGGGATCCCTCACTTATTTATAATCCCACTAGAACCGTTAACATTAATTTCATAGGCCTTATCATGTATTAATCACTGGAGTTAATGAAAATTTTTCCTGTTATGACGTCCATTGCTATCAATGGACGTCTCAAAATCGTCAAGGAAGTCATTGCTATTGCACAATACATGATGACCCAGAACTTTTCCAAAAGCTTAAAAAC